GACGCGGGGGCGGGGCGTGGACTGGAGGACCCAGTGAGCCCCATGCAGCCGCCTGGGGCTAAGCAGGTACGGACAAACAGGTGGACGGATGGACGGGTGCGGGCCGGATGGGCGGGGCCGAGTCTCGGCTGCTGTCCTGCAGAGCGGGGCACCTGTTCCTGCGGCAAGTGCTCCTGCAACCCGGGCTTCGAGGGCTCCGCGTGCCAGTGTGACAGGTCCACCCGGGGCTGCCTGAACCCCGACGGCTTTGAGTGCAACGGGCGCGGCCGCTGTGTCTGCAACGTGTGTGAGTGTGACGCCGGCTACCAGCCGCCCCTGTGCCTGGAGTGCCTGGGCTGCCCGTCGCCCTGCGGCCGCTACTTGTGAGTGCCCCGCCTGCACCCATGCTGCTCTCCGGCTCCCGGGTCCCCGCAGCTCTGCCCCCGGACTCCTCCGGGAGCCCCTTCCTCCTCCCCGAAGCCTTCGCCCGTGTCCCCCCGCCCGGGGGCCCTCCTGGCGCCTGAGTCCTCGTGCACCTGCGCTCAGCCCCACGCTCCTCTCCTCCGCAGGTCGTGCGCCCAGTGCCTGAAATTTGACCCGAGCCACTCGGGGAGTAACTGTACCTCGGTGTGCGGGAACGTGGGCCTGCTGAACAAGCCCCCGGAAAAGGGGCGCACGTGCAAGGAGCGGGACGTGGACGGCTGCTGGATCACCTACACGCTGCGGCAGCGGGTTGGCAGGGACAGCTATGACATTTACGTGGATGACAGCCGAGGTGAGACTTCCGGGGTGGCCACGATGTCTCCCCACTTAGAAGGCCGGCCTGGGGGGGGTTGGCGAGTGTCCACAGCTGTGGTCCTCCTGGACCGGCCCCTCCCTGCCTCACCGGTGACACCTGAGAGGCGGTGCTCCGAGCCAGGGGACGGTTCTCAGGCTGGTTACCTCCTACTTGACAGCTGACTGGGGCTTGGAGCTGTGGGTCCCGAGAACTGGGCGAGGGACAGCTGTGTGAGGACCCCTGCGGGCTTTTGGAGATCCCCGCGCTGAGATCTCAGCCCTGGAGGGGGTCAGCTTTCTAAATGCTGCCTGCAGTCTGTCGCTGCAGCCCAGGGCCGTCCCTGGCCCAGTAATGGCTAAGGACACGAGGACGCCAATCCTGTTCTTGTGGGGTCTCACCTTCCAAGGGGATGGAGACACGCTGGGCCAACACCTGAAATGCCAGTACCCGAGACAGCGCAGGACTGTGGTCAGGGTCAAGAGGTGCAAAGACGGGAGGGGGGCGGTGCCCCAGAGGTCAGAGGTCAGAAGGTCTCTGGGAAGAGGACCCTTGCAGCTGAGACCGCAGGATGAGGGCAGCCACACAAAGCAAAGTGAAGGCTGGGGGGTCAGAGGCCCTTGGCGCTGGGTCTTTACAGGCCCCGGTGAGTCCCAGGAGGCATTTGGGTCTCTCTCCAAACATACCAAGAGGCTGTTGGCAGTTTTCAGAAGAGCGAGGGACAACTCTGAGCTGCATTTTCGGACGCGGACCCACAAAGGGCCTCTGCGTGACGCAGGCACCGAGGCGCTGACAAGGATAGGTGTGGAGGTGGCGGGGGCGTGGGGACAGAGCCTGCGCTTGAGTGGAGCATGGGGACGGGGTCGGGAGCAGCGGATGGTGTGTGGGGGTCGGGTCAGGTTTTAGGGGGCACATTGGGTGACGGTGACAAAGCACGTGTGGGTGTTGGGACTTAGGGACACCGATGCCCCTTGGGGTACGTTCTGGGGTGGCCCCCAGGGGCATTCAGGGCACACAGACGCTCAGCACCCCACTCCTTTCCTGCTCAGAGAGGTTGAGGGGACAGACAGAGGCTGGGGGGCCGAGGCGCTCAGGCGAATGCAGCAGGTGTGGGCAAGCCATCCGCCAGTGCCCAGGTGGGACTGAGACCTGCACCCAGCTCCCCTCCCCGCGGTGGGAACCCCAGAGGGGCAGGTGGGGCTCAGGCCCTCTGTGTGGCCTGGAGCTCACAGCCTGAGTCTGGGGCTGCGGGTTCCGGCCTGCCAGGGTGGACACCTCTCGCCAGGTTTCTTTGATGGGCAGATTTGGGTCACACGTGGTTTTGTGCACCCTTGGCCAAGTTGTTTAACCTCTGTAGGACGCCGAGGCCCGCTAGAAAGGTCAGGATGATGGAGCACATGAAAACACGGGCACCCAGGGTCAGGCAAATAAGGGCCCTGTTCCCCGGGTCAGGGGCTGAGGCCTGACACACTGCAGCCCAGAGCCCTGGAGGAGGAGGGTGGGGGCCCCAGGACGCCGCCATTGGTTTCCTCAGGCTTTCACTAGGCGAGTCCTCCTCCCTAACCTCTGCTACCGGGTGTGTCGGGGGCCTCAGGCACCGCACCTGCCTGAGTACTGACTCAGTCTCAGTAGGTTCTGGTGACGGGGCCACCGGCTGTCCATGGTGGCAGCTGGCTCAGGAGGCTGGTGTCCTGTCCAGGCTGCCCTGGCTACTGGCGTCCTGGCCCCACTTTCCTCCCGTGTGAACGAGGGGCCTTTAAGTTTCGTCCGGAACCGCAGGGCCTGGTCTGTGCCCTGCCCTGCCCCTTCCCTGGCCGGGGCCTGGGGCTGCGGTTCACTCCCCCACCTGTTGCCTTGATGGTGAGCCCAGGGGTGGGAAAGCTGTGTCCCCCTAAGCACTGGACCGTGTCCTGGGGCAGGGCACACGTGGGGCCTGAGACACTCATGAGCGCGTACTTCTCCCTTGCCTCAGAGTGTGCGACGGGCCCCCAAGTTGCCCCCATCGTGGGGGGCATCGTGGCGGGGGTCGTACTCATCGGCATCCTCCTGCTGGGCATCTGGAAGGCTCTGACCCACGTGAGTGACCTCAGGGAGTACAGGCGATTTGAGAAGGAGAAGCTCAAGTCCCAGTGGAACAATGTGAGTGGCTGTCCTGGGGGCCAGGCCCCCCCCGCCCCTGTGACGTCTGCCCACCTGTCCCCGAAGCTCATCCTTAGAGCTGGGACTGTGGGAAGGCCACCCCCACTCCTGGCTCCCTTCTCCTGCACTGACGAGTCGTGTCGCTTTTCCCACCAGGACAACCCCCTTTTCAAGAGCGCCACCACGACAGTCATGAACCCAAAGTTTGCTGAGAGTTAAGAGCACTTGGTGAAGACAATGGTGTCTGAACCGACCAGATGGGACCACCCCCGAATCACATCTCCTCCATCGGGTCCTCCACGGACACAGCTTACGATGCTTGAACATTTCACCCATTAACCAAAAATCCACTGTTTTTTTCTGCTCTCAGAACAATAGATATGGCCAGGTGACAACAGGGACCCATCAGAAGGAACCGCCTCCCCCTTCTGATGTGTCTGACCTTTTCAGTAGAGACTGGAAGAAGGAACTGCTTGGGTCTTTCAAGGTTAGATACGTTTTCCCGCATAAAAGAGTGGTGGGCTCATTAAAGGCAGCACAAAATTTATTTATACTTGAACTTCTCAGGGTGTAAGGTTCCATCCCATTGAGTATACTGTTTTTCAGTCACGTGTGTAGAAACAATTAATAAAACTTCAGAAGAGACTATCTGTGGGCTCTGTGCACACTTGGAGGATACGAGTCGACTGTGGGTCGTGCTGTGGGCGTCTGTTCTCTTTCCTCCTTCCTCACCTGCTGGCCTGTGTCCATGGCCCTCTCTGCCCCTGTCCCTGCCCCACCTCCTAAGCCTTCAGGGGCCGTGTGGGGAGCT